AATCCCATGACAATGTTCATTGGTTTATTATGTAAAATCATGGAGCTATTGTCCCATGGCATAATAAAATAACATTCTTTTGTGTGTTACAGTGACGTATTTCGAGAAACTTGTCCTAATATTTTTTTAAAAATACCTTTTTTTAGAACAATTCTATAAAGCGCAACAAAAATTGCTTTTTTGACACTTTTTAAAACCCAGATTGTTGAGAGGAAAAATTAGGAAAACAAAAAGTACCCCATCAGTTAATAATATGTCACCAGCCTACAATTTGAGATATGGCATAATATCTCTGCCATAGGAACCTATGGTAAAACACTATAATACTGCCAAAATGGCCGCTATCCACTAAAATACAACCATGATTTTCTCAATATTAGCCTGGTGACCCCCAACTCAATATTCTTATATTATCCAGAAGTACATTTTTTTTCAAAAATGATTAAATTCTGGGTGTTTGAAATCATGAGTAGGCTTCTACCTTAAAGGCAAAACTGAAGCAAAAACACTTTCTCACTCAGTATAGGTGTCAAATATACACAAGGCTCAACATAGTGCATTGGTCAATGTTGGTCCATAACTCCACATGTATAGGTCTATCCAGAGTTCTTTTATCTTAGAGACTGTGGTCTATCGTTTTTCGACAGGCTATCACACCGATATATTGACAAAGAAAAGAACAATCAAGTAGTGATGTTTGTTGAGCTGATACCTTTTTTTTATTTTTCCATGTCAGAGGTTGTAGGTTTGTCACTAATTACCACTATTTACATACATAAAGTTAAATGTGATGTGTTATTTTCCAAGTTTGCACCCGGAGTAATGTTCAGTTTGTTTGGTTGTGAAAACAGGAACTAACGTCACTGAATTGTTATTTACCTGCGTACATATTTACAAACATATCATGTGTATTTGTGCGTGTATTAATTATTAAACAACTTAAACAATTTATATCAAATAAATAAAAATCACATTATTTGTTAAATCGTTATCAAATATATCCCATAATATTCAAACTGATTTGACTACATTCGAGAGGCAGCGGCACGAAATGTTACTTGGAGGGACGAGATCTGCTCATTAACCTCGCGCCGAAGAGCCGATCTTACTAGGGGGTCCGGGGCATCTTCTCCCTTAACAATTCTTGAAATCTAGACTCTCTGAAACGTTATTTTCTGCATTTGGGGGGGGGGGGTAAATTTTGCTGACACAAAGGGTCTCAGCCTGATTCCCAACATTTTTTCGAGGGGGAGACTTTCCCCCTCTGCCCCCCTATGCCACCGCCACTGCTACTACTTTGCTCAGCCGTTTGCACAACGAGAACGTGTCGGATTAATTGTTCACGTTGGTTTCATACACATTTTTTCCATTTCCGCTCTCATTTCTAAAACTTCAGCAGTAGTTCTGTGTTCACTCATGTCTTGTAACATTTTACGAAGTCGATTTGTATTACGTAGATTATTTGTTCGAGTTGTTATTCTATTTGCCCCTATTCTGTCCCCTGAAGTTTTAAGTTGACGTTGTCGCCTTTCCTGGATTCGCTGCTGAAGCTCTTCTTCTACCTGTTGTTTAATCTCAGTATGACTTCTCAGTGACTGCCTGCGAGGTAGCATCTTCTCTACGATATCTTGGCTACGTTGTTTACAAGGACCCGCGCCCTGTATAATGCCATGTGGAATTTCCATCAATTGTCGTCGTTGTAAACTAATCGAATTATCTCTTTTGTGCTGAGATGGAGATCCAGGACGTAAACAAGATATCGAAGGTGTAACTGTGATTGAGTGTCTACGTCTTGACAAATATGCCATTAATTCACCATTGTCCGCACCCAGGGGTTCGCTAGGGAACAAAAAACGCGGCGACGGCTCTGCGAGACTTTCGACAGATACTCGGTGGTGAAATTGGTCTGTTTGTAACGGCATTTGAGAAAACTCGGCGGACGCATCGCCATCAACAGTGTCCGCACCATTGGATACCATGTTTATGTCAAATACAAGGTTCTTCATTTCGTTTCGCCGTTCAAAGTCGTCGTCATGACAATTGGATGATGCAACAGACGAACAAGAACTGTCACGTCTTCTTGGCTAGTAATATAGAATTTTATACAAATATTTTAATATTGTATTTATTATGAATATTATTGTAATATGAAATACACATTAAATCCTCTGTGCTGTATAATAACATAGGAATCAGAGGGACGAATTCTGGAACAAATCAACAGTAGCCGTACTTGATATTTTTCTGAAAACAAGTTCACCAAAGATAACGATTTTGTAAACTCACCGATGCAGGGATTCCTGACTGAAAGGATCCACGTCGATTTAATAAAGCTAAATCTTTCATTTGCAGTGTGGATGTTACCTTTCCCTCTTCTTTGTGGTTTGTACCTAGGCCTGCGATTACCTCAGAACGTTGTTTTCTCAGGGCTTCCAACTTTGATATTATTTTTGTCAATTCGATTGATATTGTTGAACGGCGAGACAATGGATCCTTCACGAATTCCCCTGACGACCGACGAGACATGACACCTGTGGAATGCACAGGCGGTAATATCAAGGACTCGCTTAAAGACGTTGTCGAACGGTTAATGTAGTCGGGGCTTGAATCCATTGTTTTTCTCGAATTGTTCAACTCAGTAACTTTTTTCCCCATAAAATCGACTTCATCTTCAACAGAAGAGTAAACAGATTCCATTTCCATCTCCAAACACGGGCTGGGTGCAGTTACCACTACGTTGGGAACAGGGGTCGGCAGAGTAAATGTCTCTCTGTTGTTGCTACCAACTAACTGAGAAGCAAAATCACGTGCATGATCGGTATCAATCTGATCATCGCGTCTGGATTTAGGATATTCACTAGTTGCAGGAGCACTAATATTTTCACCCTGTTTCCTGGGACTTAGTTTCCCTGTAACACAATCAATTGCACTCCAACTTACACTTTTGCAATCACTCTCGTGTGTATCAGGTAGCGATACTTTCGTTTCGTCAACGCCCAGTTGCGGCGTACGTCGTTGTTGGTACTTCTCCAAGATCCCAGAATTTTTACCACTTGCCAACCCGTTACAAACAGTTGTCAAATCGGTGTTCTTTTCAAAGTCAATAATTTTCTTATCTTGATTGAAGCGAACAAATTTCTTCGAGTCATCGTTGATCTTCAACTTGGTGGACGAGCTTTTGATTTTTCGCCTTGGCATTTTGGTGTGGAGGATTTTCTTCTGACCACGTATGAACAAATTACTCTTTCTCACCTCACATTCAAAAACGGCTCTGTAAAGCCACTCGCCGGTGGACATCGAGTAGTAGCCGAGGGCTTCGTGCTGGACACACTGTCTTCTTATTACTACCGGAAAACATTTCTCTCTGCGTAACTCTTTGTGCATCGAGGGACTGTTCTTATTCATCATTACAATACACTCGTGATTTGAGAGACAAATGATCCAATGTCTCCGAAATACGGTCGATATGTACAATAATGCAACATGTAGATGGGCATGGGCACGCTGTGAGATGTGACAATACGCGCACAGTGCGATCCTTCTGAGGTGTGACAATTACGTATTTTCAAAATAACTCATGTGGTGAAAACTCAATGTTACATCAATAACTCGTTCTCGTCAATTATTCGTTCAATTCAAGGCATCCGAATATATGCAGACGGAACCAGCTAGTAATTGTATTCAAATGTAAGTTGAAATCAGTAGTTTTACGTAATTTAATAATTTATTGTGTGTTTATTGTTTTATTTTCACAAAACAGAGTTACTGTATTGTATTTTGTTCTGTTATATCAGTGTTTATTTGTAACACACTGACGTTGCTGTGCTATTTTTTTTTCTTTCAGCAAAATACAGGTGTGAGATATGTCTGTGAAGTGAATTGACAATGATTAATCAGTGTTATAAACTATTTTATATTCTGTTTAGGGAGGCTTGAAAACAGGCTCTGATACTAACAAAAATGATAGATGGTCGGGAATATGCAAACGGCAAACGAGATACTCACGTGACTGGGGAATTTGATTTGTCAAATTGTACTTACTTTGCCGCCATAATAGCGCAGAGATATAAGCAGTAATTCTCGTGTGATGGATTTGGTGTAGAATTTTAAATATCAGAAAACACCTTCTTGAAACGATATCGTGACTCCTCGGATTGTACCGACAAACTGCAAATGATGCTGATCGCGTACGAAGGCTTTGAGTTGAAACACTATGATAAAGACTTTCCGTTTTCGACATTGTAAAATTCTTTCGTTTTTACGCAGAAAATCTCGCGCAACAAATGACACACATGTCCACAATTGGCAGGCAACAAACATTTGATGAACATGGCTGATGAAAGGGACTGTCGTGAAAAAAATGAAAATTTCAATCTGTGAAAATATATATTTTCCTGAACCTAACCATTGTTTATGTGGCTCTATGCCATCTGTATGTCAACAGGTTTCACCCTTTAGTCTTCCTCGTAGAGGGCGGCCTTTTTGTGAACAACATCCAACACTGAACATCGAAAAGGTTCTAGTTTGAAATTAAGCATATGGTTAATTCTACTTCATGATGCCACAACTTCAAATGTTATTACGACATTATGTCGTGGTGTAACTGCATGGATGAAATTAGAGGGACGAATGCACGCCATAGTCAATTCGGCAATGACGTCACTGTAAATCTCCCAGAAGTCATGTAGCCGTCCCTATTTTCACGTAAGGAGTATCATAATAGAGTTCGCAAATTCACACGATTCAGACATTGTAACCAAACTTACTATACCCATGGCCACTTAACTATGCTTTAGGAAGGCTTCTAAATTCGATTTCAGGATACTGTTGGACAAGATTTTTCATGAACCGTGAACAATCCACACCACGGGCG